CTGGTTTAGTCCTGGTTTAGTCCCGGTTCTCTTCTGATACCTATATTTTGGCTTTAAGTGTCTGCCGATACTCGGTCTGAACCGATACTCGGTCTGAACCGATACCAGAACAGAGACGAAAAACTGATTTTATTTTCCAAAAAAAACAAAAAAATCTGACAAAACCGTAGAAAAACATGATGGAAATAAAAGGTCAGGGTATCGGTATCGGTCTGGGTATCGGTCTGGGTATCTGTCAGGGTGCGGGTATCGGTATCGGTGTGAGTATCGGTGCTGACGCGAGTCTCCGCCCCCGCAGGTCTGGATAAAGGAGCTCAGTACAGTTTCCAGGTGGCGGCGATGACGGTGAACGGCTCAGGTCCGTTCAGCGACTGGGTTTCCACGGAGACGCCCGAGACCGACCTGGACGGTGAGAACACACACCAAACACTTTTTAAATGTATTTATTTAAATTATTTATTTTATTTATTTTATTGTATTTTTTAAATTTATTTATTTATTTATTGTTATTAATTATTTGTTTATTTTTTGTAATTTATTTATTTGATTAGATTTTTTTTTTTTTTTTTTTTTTTTTATTAATTATTTTATTTTATTTAGTTAGTTAGTTATTTGTTTAGTTATTTTATTTATAATTATTACTTTTTAATTCATTTGTTCTATTTATTTATTAATTTGTTTATTTTTTGTTTATTATTTGTTATTTATTTATTTTTTATTTATCATGCGTTTATTTACCATTGCGTTACCATGGAGACAGAGGAGAGAAGAGAAGAGAGGGATGGAGAGAGGAGGAGAACAGACTGATAGTTTGAAGGGGCAGGACTGTCAGTGTCAGAAACCGGAATGTTCCAGAGTAAAGCTTTAATCTGGAGAAGAAGAAGAAGAGGAAGAAGAGAAAGAGGAGAGGAGGAGAGGAGGAGAGGAGGAGGACGAGAGGAAGGGCATCTGGCTTTAATGGAAACATGCAGCCTCTGAAAATGAAAAGAGAGAGAAGGATAAACACAGAGAGAGAAGAGAGAGAGGGAAGGAAGGAGGAAGAGAGGAGAGAGGGAAGAGGAGAAGGAGGAAGAGGAGTGATGGATGAGAGAGAAGGGGGGATGGGAAAGAGGAGGAGAAAGAAGAGAGGAGAGGAGAAGGAGTGATGGATGAGAGGAAGAGAAGAGAGAGTGAGGGAGTGAGAGAGGGAGAGGAGGAAGAGGAGGAGTGATGGATGAGAGGAAGACGTGTAAACGGCTCCAAAGACAAAAACATGAATATTTAATGTTTAACTAACGACAGAAAAAAAAAAAAAAAAAACAGCTGCTGCAGGAACAAGGAAAGGAGACGAGGGAGCAAGGGCAGAGGAGACCAGGACAGAGGAGAAGAGGAAAGGAAACAAGGAGAGAGAAGACGAGGAAAGGAAACAAGGAGAGAGGAGACGAGGAACGGAAACAAGGACAGAGGAGACGAAGAAAGGAAACAAGGACAGAGGAGATGAGGAAAGGAAACAAGGACAGAGGAGACAAGGACAGAGGAGACCAGGACAGAGGAGACGAGGAAAGGAAAAAAGAACAGAGGAGACGAGGAAGCACGGAAAGAAGAAAAGGCCATAAGGAGAGAGGAAACGAGGAACAAGGAGATGAGGAGAGAGGACAGAAGGAGAGAAGGAAACAAGGAAACTATAGGAGAGAGGAGATGAGAAAAGGAAACAAGGACAGAGGAGACGAGGACAGAAGAGATGAGGACAGAGGAGACGAGGAAAGGAAGCGAGGACAGAGGAGCCGAGGACAGAGTTTGTGTTTGAGATCTATAAGGAAACATCTTCAGATGAGGAGGGAAGGAAACAAGGAGAAGAGGAAACGAGGAGGAAATGAGACAAGGAGGAAGGAGGGAAGGAGACAAGGAGATATGTTTATGTAAGTGTTGAATGTCCCCGGAGATGAGAAGACAAGGACAGAGGAGACAAGGAGACAAGGAGACAAGGACAGAGGAGACAAGGACAGAGGAGAATCTAAAACGCACAAATGTTTAAAAATGTGAAATAACCAACACAGGTACAAGCCCCTCCCCCTGCACACCAAGCCCCTCCCCCTGCACACCAAGCCCCTCCCCCTTTCCCCCTTCCCCCCCCCCCTCCTTTAGCCCCTCCCCTTCCTGTTTAACTCTGTTTGTTTCGATCGTCGTTTCCACAAATGAAATGAGGCGGTGCCCGGGAGGACGACACTAACGAGACAGTACAGACCGGAGGGACGAGTCAGGACGAGCCGCGAAAGCAAATCCTGTTAGAAACAGTTAGAGAGTCAGAGGGGGGGGGGGGGGCTTCAGGCGCCGATTAAACACGACAACAACAACAACAACACAACAACAACACAACGACAACACGACAGAGAAGAGCTGAACAAAACTGACACATCATTTTTATTTTTATGATTAAAATGAAAAACAGAACAGAACAGAACAGGACTGACTCATGGTGACATCGTCTGAGTTTGTTTAGTTTGTTTAGTTTGTTTTTATTCAGGACATAAACATTTCAAAATTGTTTTCTGTTTTATTAAATCAGAGTTTTTCTCCAAACTGTTCTGCTCAGATGTTCCTCCAGGTTTCGCTCGTTTCTTTTCTCTGAAGTTTCGTTGGAGTTTAATGATGAACTGGACAGTGGATATTTTAAAGCGACTCTTGTCTCGTTTCCACAACAGATTTAAGACTGAATCAAACTGAATTTGTCTTTAAAAAGTCCAGGTGAAAATGATTTTAAATCTGAATTTGGTTCCTGGATGCTGTTTGTGGTTTGTTCTTCACGCTGGTGTTCGGCCGGACGCTCGTCGTGTCACTTTATCTTCACTGAACGACCAGAATTATTTTTAACACGAACAAACGACAAACATGATCCAAGAAGAAATTTATTCAGATTTAAAATCAGAAGAAAACAAACAAACACTTCACTATTAACTTTAATTCACAATAAACATTTTTATTAAGAATTCAGTGTTTACATCAGGAGCACGTCTCCAAACACAGAGGGTCCAGGGCCCGTCCAGGGCCCGTCCGTCCAGGGCCCGTCCAGGGCCCAGGGCCACAGACTGATGATGTTTACATCAATAATTGAATGTGCAGGTTTCACACGTCAGAGCCTCAGTTTTTCTTCACACTCAGATCCTTAAAACACTAAATATTAAATATTTAACTTTATCAAGGGAGATTTTCCAAAAACTTTTTCATTGATGCAGGTCATTTGGGTCATTTCACCTGGAAGACTGAGGGCCACATTTGGCCCCCGGGCCAGAGTTTGGACATGTCTGGATTAAATGAACTTTTTAAAAACAAATTCAGTTTGATTCTGAATTAAATTAATAATTCTCTGTTTCATGTCTCTCTCTGTCGTGTCTGTGTGACTCTCGGTGTCTGTGTGACTCGGTGTGACTGACGGTGTGACTCGGTGTGACCTCGGTGTGACTCGGTGTGACTCGGTGTGACTCGTGTGACGGTGTGACGGTGTGACTCGGTGTGACCCGGTGTGACCCGGTGTGACTCGGTGCGCTCTCCTCTCCGCAGAGTCGACGGTCCCGGACCAGCCGTCGTCGCTCCATGTTCGTCCGTTGCCCAACAGCATCATCATGTCGTGGACGCCGCCGCTGTCGCCCGCCGTCCTCGTCCGCGGTTACATCATCGGTTACGGCGTTGGCAGCCCGTACGCCGAGACCGTCCGCGTGGACGCCAAGCAGAGATACTACGCCATCGAGAGGCTCGGTGAGGAACTGCACCGCACCAACTCAGGTCATGTGTGTCAGGGGACATCCTCCTGTGTGTGTCAGGGGTCATCCTCCTGTGTGTGTCAGGGGCCCTCTGTGTGTGTCAGGGGCCCTCTGTGTGTGTCAGGTGCCCTCTGTGTGTGTCAGGTGTCTGTGTGTGTCAGGGCCCCTGTGTGTGTCAGGGGCCCTGTGTGTGTCCTGTGTGTGTCAGGGGCCTCCTGTGTGTGTCAGGTGCTGCTCCTTGACCTTCACCTTCACATGTTCTGAGATGTTCCTCTGGTTGTTGGAGGAGTTTCTCTCAGACGTGAAGCTTCAGATTCACAATATTTTTCAAACAAACAAATCACACTTCAGTTTTTTTGTTTTTTTTTCCAAATCAACATTTTTCACAAACCAAACACCTGTGGAAAGCTCCATGGTGCAGCTTTAATCGTGTCTCTGGAGGATCTGAGGAGGTTCTGGGTCTGGACCGGGATCCTGGCTCGGGTCTTCTGGAGGTTCTGGGTCTGGACCGGGATCCTGGCTCGGGTCTTCAGGAGGTTCTGGGTCTGGACCGGATCCTGGCTCAGGTCTTCTGGAGGTTCTCGTGGTTCCTGCAGGTGTCGGTTTGTTTCTTCGGCCGCGACAGAAACTCTGAATAATTCACACAGTTTGATTTGAACCACACGAGGTCCTACATTATTAAAGAAACACTTTAAAATACACAAAACAGACAAGTGTGTGTGTGTGTGTTGTGTGTGTGTGTGTGTGTGTGTGTGTTGTGTGTGTGTGTCGGGGGGAAGGAAACATCTACAGATAAGGAGGGAAGGAAACAAGGAGGGAAGGAAATGAGACACGGAGGAAGGGGGGAAGGAGACAAATTGTTTGTGTAAGTGTTGAATGCCCACAAGGAGACAAGGAGACAAGGAAACAAGGAGATAAGGGCAGAAGGACACATGAGAGAAAGTGGGAAGGAGACAAGGAAACGAGGGGACAGAGAGATAAGGACACATGATTGTGTTTAGTGTCAAACAACCAGAGAGAAGGAGACAAGGAGAGAAGGAGAGAAGGAGAGAAGAGGGAAAGAGGGAAGGAAGGAGAAAGGAGAGAGGAGACAAGGAGGGAAGGATGGAAGGAGAGAAGGATAAAGGAGACAAGGAGGGAAAGAGGGAAGGCGAGAAGGAAGGAGAAAGGAGAGAGGAGACAAGGAGGGAAGGATGGAAGAAGAGAAGGATGGAAGGAGACAAGGAGGGAAGGAGAGATGGAGAAAGGAGACAAGGAGAGAAGGAGAAAAGAGACAATGAGAGAAGGAAGGAAGGAAGGAGAGAAGGAAAAAGGAGACAAGGAGGTAAGGAGACAAAGAGGGAAGGAGCAAAGGATGGAAGGAGAGAAGGAAGGAGAGAAGGAGAAAGGAGGGAAGGAGAGAAGGAGAGAAGGAAACAAAGAGGGAAGGAGCAAAGGAAGGAAGGAGAGAAGGAGGGAAGGAGAGGAGGAGACAAAGAGGGAAGGAGCAAAGGAAGGAAGGAAGGAGACAAGGAAGGAAGGAGAGAAGGAGCAAAGGAAGGAAGGAGAAAAGGAGGGAAGGAGCAAAGGATGGAAGGAAGGAAGGAGTGAAGGAGAAAGGAGGGAAGGAGAGAAGGAGACAAAGAGGGAAGGAGCAAAGGAAGGAAGGAGACAAGGAGGGAAGGAGCAAAGGAAGGAAAGAAAGAAGGAAAGAGACAAGGAGGGAAGGAGCAAAGGAAGGAAAGAAAGAAGGAAGGAGACGAGGAGGGAAGGAGAGAAGGAGAAAGGAGGGAAGGAGAGAAGGAGACAAAGAGGGAAGGAGCAAAGGAAGGAAGGAGACAAGGAGGGAAGGAGAGAAGGAAGGAGGGAAGGAGAAAGGAGGGAAGGAGAGAAGGAGACAAAGAGGGAAGGAGCAAAGGAAGGAAAGAAGGAAGGAGAAAGGAGGGAAGGAAGCAAAGGAAGAAGGAAAGGAGAAGGAAGGAAGGAAGGAAGGAGACAAAGAGGGAAGGAGAGAAGGATGAAAGGAGAGAAGGAGACAAGGACACAAGTGGAGAAGGAGGGAAGGAGAGGAGGAGACAGTGTCCAGAGGAGGGAGGGAAGAGGAGACACAGGCAGAACGTTCAAACTGAGACGTGCATCATGTGACACTGTGGCAGAGTGGTTATCCTGTCTCCCTCTCACCAGGAGGTTGTGTGACCCCTGACCCCTGACCCCTGACCTTCAGACCCTCAGACCCTCAGACCTCAGACCTTCAGACCCTCAGACCTTCAGACCTTCAGACCCTCAGACCCTCAGACCCTCAGACCCTCAGACCTCAGACCCTCAGACCCTCAGACCCTCAGACCTCAGACCCTCAGACCCTCAGACCTTCAGACCCTCAGACCTTCAGACCTCAGACCTTCAGACCCTCAGACCCTCAGACCTTCAGACCTTCAGACCTCAGACCTTCAGACCTCAGAGACCTCAGACCTCAGACCTCAGACCCTCAGACCTTCAGACAGACCTCAGACCCTCAGACCTTCAGACCTTCAGACCTTCAGACCCTCAGACCTCAGACCCTCAGACCTTCAGACCCTCAGACCCTCAGACCCTCAGACCCTTCAGACCTTCAGACCTCCTCAGACCCTCAGACCCTCAGACCCTCAGACCTTCAGACCCTCAGACCTTCAGACCTTCAGACCCTCAGACCCTCAGACCCTCAGACCTTCAGACCTTCAGACCTTCAGACCTCAGACCCTCAGACCCTCAGACCTTCAGACCTCAGACCCTCAGACCTCCTTCAGACCTTCAGACCCTCAGACCCTCAGACCTCAGACCCTTCAGACCTCAGACCCTCAGACCCTCAGACCCTCAGACCTCAGACCCTCAGACCCTCAGACCCTCAGACCCTCAGACCTCAGAGACCTCAGACCTCAGACCCTCAGACCCTCAGACCTCAGACCTCAGACCCTCAGACCCTCAGACCTCAGACCTTCAGACCTCAGACCTCAGACCTTCAGACCCTCAGACCCTCAGACCTCCGACCCTCAGACCTTCAGACCTTCAGACCCTCAGACCCTCAGACCTTCAGACCTCAGACCTTCAGACCTTCAGACCTTCAGACCCTCAGACCTTCAGACCTTCAGACCTTCAGACCCTCAGACCCTCAGACCTCAGACCTTCAGACCCTCAGACCCTCAGACCCTCAGACCTTCAGACCTCAGACCCTCAGACCTTTCAGACCTCAGACCTCAGACCTTCAGACCTTCAGACCTCAGACCTCAGACCTCAGACCTTCAGACCTTTCAGACCCTCAGACCCTCAGACCTTCAGACCCTCAGACCTTCAGACCTCAGACCTTTAGACCTTCAGACCCTCAGACCTCAGACCTTCAGACCTTCAGACCTTTAGACCTTCAGACCCTCAGACCTCAGACCCTCAGACCTTCAGACCTTCAGACCTTCAGACCCTCAGACCTTTCAGACCTTCAGACCCTCAGACCTTCAGACCCTCAGACCCTCAGACCTCAGACCTCAGACCTCAGACCTCAGACCTCAGACCTCAGACCTCAGACCTCAGACCTCAGACCTTTCAGACCTTCAGACCCTCAGACCCTCAGACCCTCAGACCTTCAGACCTTTCAGACCTCAGACAGACCTCAGACCTCAGACCTTCAGACCTTCAGACCTTCAGACCTCAGACCTTCAGACCCTCAGACCTTCAGACCTTCAGACCTTCTGACCTCTCGTCTCTCGTCTGTCGTCCTCAGAGCCCAGTTCTCATTACGTGATCTCGCTGAAGGCCTTTAACAACGCTGGAGAGGGAGTCCCACTGTACGAGAGCGCCGTCACCAGGTCACTGACAGGTACTGCACCTGACCACTGCACCTGACCACCGCACCTCACCGCCGCACCTGACCACCACCGCACCTGACCACCACCTGCACCCACTGCACCTGCACCACCTGCACCTGCACCTGCACCTGACCACTGCACCTGACCGCCGCACCTGACCACCACCGCACCTGACCACCGCACCTGACCACTGCACCTGACCACTGCACCTGACCACCGCACCTGACCACCGCACCTGACCACCGCACCTGACCACCGCACCTGACCACTGCACCTGACCACCGCACCTGACCACTGCACCTGACCACCGCACCTGACCACCGCACCTGACCACGACCACCTGACCACCGCACCTGACCACCGCACCTGACCACCACACCTGACCACTGCACCTGACCACCGCACCTGACCGCCGCACCTGACCGCCGACCGACCGCCGCACCTGACCGCACCGCACCTGACCACCGCACCTGACCACCGCACCTGACCACCGCACCTGACCGCACCTGCACCTGACCACCGCACCTGACCGCACCTGACCACCGCACCTGACCACCGCACCTGACCACTGCACCTGACCACCGCACCTGACCACCGCACCTGACCACTGCACCTGACCACTGCACCTGACCACCACCGCACCTGACCACCACACCTGACCACCTGCACCTGACCGCCGCACCTGACCTGACCACTGCACCTGACCGCCGCACCTGACACACAGAAGATCTCACACAGTCCTGGTTTAGTCCTGGTTTAGTCCTGTTTAGACCTGGTTTAGTCCTGGTTTAGTCCTGGTTTAGACCTGGTTTAGTCCTGGTTTAGACCTGGTTTAGACCTGGTTTAGTCCTGGTTTAGTCCTGGTTTAGTCCTGGTTCAGTCCTGGTTTAGATTCTGGTCCATATGTCTTTATAACTGTGTGATCCCTCAGTGCTCCAGGTCGGTCCCATAGTGGTCCAGGTCTAAACCTTCAGATCTGCTCCTCTCTAGACCCCCAGACCCCTCAGACCTTCAGACCTTTAGATCTTCAGACCTTCGCTGTGTTCAGATGTTCCTCGTTGGTTGTTTCTGACGTTCTCTTCGTCTTTCTCTTCACCCCCCCTGGACCCGCCCGGACCCTCAGACCCGCCGGACCCCTCGGAGGACGACCTGTTCCTCTTTGAGAAGTTCCCCACGGCGGTCCCGGACAGCACTACGTTTCCCATGATTCCTCCGGTGGGGGTCCAGGCCGTGGCTCTGGGTCCGGACTCGGTCCGTGTGTCCTGGGCCGATAACGCCGTCAAGACCCAGAAGAACAACGAGGTCCGGTTCTACTCGGTCAAGTGGAGGAGCAGCCACTCGTCCAGCGGCAAGTACAAGGTGAGACCGGGTCTAGACTGGGTTTAGACCCAGTCTAGACCAGGTTTAGACTGAGTTTAGACTGAGTTTAGACCGAGTTTAGACCGAGTTTAGAGAGTTAGACTGAGTTTAGACCGGGTCTAGACCAGGTTTAGACCAGGTTTAGACTGAGTTTAGACCGAGTTTAGACTCAGTTTAGACTGAGTTTAGACTGAGTTTAAACTGAGTGTAGACCCAGTTTGGTCCGAGTTTAGCCCAGGGTTAGACAGGGTTTAGACTGCGGTTAGTTATGTTTTAGTCCCGGTCACGACTCGGTTCCCGGTCCCGGTTCCCGGTCCTGACCCGGTTCCTGGTCCCGGTCCTGACCCGGTTCCTGGTCCCGGTCCTGACCCGGCTGTTCAGTCCGCAGACACCACGGCTCTGTCTCACACGGTCACGGGGCTGAAGCCGAACTCTGTGTACGAGTTTTCTGTGATGGTGACGAAGGGCAGGAAGTCGAGCACCTGGAGCATGACGGCGCACGCCACCACCTACGAAGCAGGTAACCACGGCGACGCCCCACAGACACGCCCACAGACACGCCACAGACACGCCCACAGACACGCCCACACGCGTGTTGGACATGTTGGACATAATGGACATGTTGGACATTTAGAACATGTTGGACATTTAGAACATGTTGGACATGTTGGACATGTTAGGACATGTTGGACATGTTGGACATTTAGGACATGTTGGACATGTTGGACATGTAGGACATGTTGGACATGTTGGACATGTTGGACATGTTAGGACATGTTGGACATGTTGGACATGTTAGGACATGTTGGACATGTTGGACATGTTAGGACATGTTGGACATGTTGGACATGTAGGACATGTTGGACATTTTGGACATGTTGGACATGTAGGACATGTTGGACATTTTATGTTAGGACTGTAGGACATGTTGGACATGTTGGACATGTTGGACATGTTGGACATGTTAGGACATGTTGGACATGTTAGGACATGTTGGACATGTTGGACATGTTGGACATTTAGGACATGTTGGACATGTTGGACATTTAGGACATGTTGGACATGTTGGACATGTAGGACATGTTAGGACATGTTGGACATGTTAGGACATTTAGGACATGTTGGACATGTTGGACATGTAGGACATTTAGGACATGTTGGACATGTAGGACATGTAGGACATTTAGGACATGTTGGACATGTTAGGACATGTTAGGACATGTAGGACATTTAGGACATGTTGGACATGTAGGACATGTTGGACATTTAGGACATTTAGGACATGTTGGACATGTTGGACATTTAGGACATTTAGGACATGTTGGACTGTTGGACATGTTGGACATGTTGGACATTTAGGACATGTTGGACATGTAGGACATGTAGGACATGTTGGACATTTAGGACATGTTAGGACATGTTAGGACATGTTGGACATGTTGGACATTAGGACAGTTGGACATTGGACATGTAGGACATGTAGGACATGTGGACATGTTGGACATTTAGGACATGTTAGGACATTGTTAGGACATGGTTGGACAGGACATGTTGGACATGTTGGACATGTTGGACATGTTAGGACATGTTAGGACATTGGACATAGGACATGTTGGACATTTAGGACATGTATGGACATGTTGGACATGTTGGACATTTGACATTTAGGACATGTTGGACATTAGGACATGTTGGACATGTTGGACATGTAGGACATTGTAGGACATTTAGGACATGTTGGACATGTAGGACATGTTGGACATGTTTAGGACATTTAGGACATGTTAGGACATGTTGGACATGTTGGACATGTTAGGACATGTTGGACATTTAGGACATGTTGGACATGTTAGGACATGTTGGACATTTAGGACATTTAGGACATGTTGGACATGTTGGACATGTAGGACATGTTGGACATTTAGGACATGTTGGACATGTAGGACATGTTGTTAGGACATGTTGGACATTTAGGACATGTTGGACATGTAGGACATGTTAGGACATGTTGGACATTTAGGACATGTTGGACATTTTGGACATGTTGGACATGTAGGACATGTTGGACATGTAGGACATGTATGGACATGACATTGGACATGTAGGACATGTTGGACATGTTGGACATGGACTAGGACATGTTGGACATGTTGGACATGTTTGGACATGTTAGGACATTTGGACATTTAGGACATGTTGGACATGGTTAGGACATTTAGGACATGTTGTTGGACATGTTGGACATGTTGGACATGTTGGACATGTGTGGACATGTTGGACATGTTGGACATGTTGACAGGACATGTTAGGACATGTTGGACATGTTGGACATGTTGGACATGTTGGACATGTTAGGACATGTAGGACATGTTGGACATGTTGGACATGTTGGACATGTTGGACATGTTAGGACATGTTGGACATGTTGGACATTTGGACATGTTAGGACATGTTGGACATGTAGGACATGTTGGACATGTTGTTGGACATGTTGGACATGTTGGACATGTTGGACTGTATGTTGGACATGTAGGACATGTTGGACATTTAGGACATGTTGGACATGTTGGACATGTAGGACATGTTGGACATGTTGGACATGTTGGACATGTTGGACATTTTTCTTCTGTGTTTTTCCTTCTCTTCGTTTTTCTCACTCGTGTGTCTGTGTGTGATTGACAGCTCCGAGCTCCGCTCCAAAAGACTTGACTGTGATTGGTCGAGAGGGTCGACCCCGGGCCATCCTCATCAGCTGGCAACCGCCCATGGAGGCCAACGGACGAATCACAGGTCAGAGATCCCGACGGGCGCCTCCGTCGGCCAATCAAAGTCTCGCAACTCCAGCTCTGCACCTCCCTCCCCCCGCGAGCTCGTCCTCGCTCAGAAACGCTCCGCTCCACCGCGTACGGACTCAACCAGGACTGATCCAGGTCCGGGACCAGACCAGGACCAGAGCAGGACCAGACCGAAACTGAGACTGAGACCAGACCAGGACCAGGCCGGAACCAGACTGGGACTGAGACTAAGACCGGACTGGAGGCTCAGAGCCCACGGCAGGACCGGAGCTCAAGCTGAGGCTCGGACCCCGCGGAGGCTCAGAGTCAAAGCTCAAAGTCCAGTCTGGTCTCGGTCTGGTCCTGGTCTGGTCCCGGTCTGGTCCCGGTTTGGTCCCGGACCTGGATCAGTCCTGGTTCAGTTCACTGAAGTCACGTAAACGGTTGTTATCAGTTTTTTTCAATTTTTCATTTAAACACAAAATGGAAAACTGAAAAAACGAATCGTTATCTGTTTTTTTTTTTTTTCATTTTGGTGTTGGAGCCTGGGCCCAGGCAGAACCTGGAGGAATCCCTCGTTTATCTTCCACAGGGTCTGAAGCTGGAGACACTCGCTCTGGGCTCAGATGTAAAACCTCAGGAAAGTCTTTGGACTTCATGTTCCTCGTGTTGTGGTCGACACAAAAGTCCAAAAACGTTCCTCTGAACGTTTTGGACAAACATCAGGTCGACGTCTCAGAGTGTTTCCTCTGACCTCAGATCTGCACCCAGTCCTCAGGTTTAAGGAAAGACCTGGAGCCTTTTTGAGTTCCTCCTGATGGACAAAGTGACTCTGAGCTCCAGGTCTGTGCTCCAGGTCTGAGCTCCAGGTCTGGGCTCCAGGTCTGGGCTCCAGGTCTGAGCTCCAGGTCTGAGCACCAGGTCTGTGCTCCAGGTCTGTGCTCCAGGTCTGAGCTCCAGGTCTGTGCTCCAGGTCTAAGCTCCAGGTCTGAGCTCAAGGTCTGTGCTCCAGGTCTGTGCTCCAGGTCTGTGCTCCAGGTCTGAGCTCCAGGTCTGTGCTCCAGGTCTGAGCTCCAGGTCGTGCTGAGGGTTTGACTCCAGCTGTCGTCCTTGTGCTGTTGCTGTGTCCTTGGGCCAGACACTTGAGTGCGTCGCTCTCACGTGTCTCCTCCGCCCCCTGCAGGTTACATCGTGTATTACACCCTGGACAAAAACGCTCCGATCGACGACTGGTCCATGGAGTCCATCTCCGGAGACCGACTGACGCACCAGGTCCTGGACCTGAGTCTGGACACGGTCTACTACTTCAGGATCCAGGCCAAGAACAGCAAAGGACTGGGACCCCTGTCCGAGCCCGTGGCCTTCAGGACCGCCAAAGGTGACCTGAGTTACCTGAGTTAGACCTGAGTTAGACTTGAGTTAGACCTGAGTTAGACTTGAGTTAGACTTGAGTTAGACTTGAGTTAGACTTGAGTTAGACCTGAGTTAGACTTGAGTTAGACTTGAGTTAGACTTGAGTTAGACTTGAGTTAGACTTGAGTTAGACTTGAGTTAGACCTGAGGTAGACCTGAGTTAGACCTGAGTTAGACTTGAGTTAGACCTGAGTTAGACTTGGGTTAGACTTGAGTTAGACCTGAGCTAGCCTTGAGTTATACTTGAGTTAGACCTGAGTTAGACTTGAGTTAGACTTGAGTTAGACCTGAGTTAGACCTGAGTTAGACTTGAGTTAGACTTGAGTTAGACCTGAGTTAGACTTGAGTTAGACCTGAGTTAGACTTGAGTTAGACTTGAGTTAGACCTGAGTTAGACTTGAGTTAGACTTGAGTTAGACTTGAATTAGACCTGAGTTAGACTTGAATTAGACCTGAGTTAGACCTAAGTTAGACATGAGTTAGACTTGAGTTAGACTTGAGTTAGACCTGAGTTAGACTTGAGTTAGACTTGAGTTAGACCTGAGTTAGACTTGAGTTAGACTTGAATTAGACCTGAGTTAGACCGGAGTTAGACTTGAGTTAGACCTGAGTTAGACCTGAGTTAGACTTGAGTTAGACTTGAGTTAGACCTGAGCTAGACTTGAGTTAGACCTGAGTTAGACCTGAGTTAGACTTGAGTTAGACCTGAGTTAGACTTGAATTAGACCTGAGTTAGACCTTGAGTTAGACTTGAGTTAGACTTGAGTTAGACTTGAGTTAGACCTGAGTTAGACTTGAGTTAGACTTGAGTTAGACTTGAGTTAGACCTGAGTTAGACTTGAGTTAGACCTGAGTTAGACCTGAGTTAGACTTGGTAGACTTGAGTTAGACTGAGCTAGCCTTGAGTTATACTTGAGTTAGACCTTGAGTTAGATTGAGTTAGACCTGAGTTAGACTGAGTTAGACTTGAGTTAGACTTGAGTTAGACCTGAGTTAGACTTGAGTTAGACCTGAGTTGGACTTGAGTTAGACTTGAGTTAGACTTGAGTTAGACCTGAGTTAGACTTGAGTTAGACTTGAGTTAGACTTGAATTAGACCTGAGTTAGACCTGAGTTAGACTTGAATTAGACCTGAGTTAGACCTAAGTTAGACTTGAGTTAGACTTGAGTTAGACCTGAGTTAGACTTAAGTTAGACTTGAGTTAGACCTGAGTTAGACTTGAGTTAGACTTGAGTTAAGACCTGAGTTAGACTTGAGTTAGGCCTGAGTTAGACCTGAGGTAGACCTGAGTTAGACCTGAGTTAGACTTGAGTTAGACCTGAGTTAGACTTGAGTTAGACCTGAGTTAGACTTGAGTTAGACTTGAGTTAGACTTGAGTTAGACCTGAGTTAGACTTGAGTTAGACTGAGTTAGACTTGAGTTAGACTTGAGTTAGACCTGAGTTAGACTTGAGTTAGACTTGAGTTAGACTTGAGTTAGACTTGAGTTAGTTAGACTTGAGTTAGACTTGAGTTAGACCTGAGTTAGACCTGAGGTTCTGACTCTGCGTTTGTTCTTTCTCAGTGGAGCATCCAGACAAGATGCCCAACGACCAGGGTGAGTCCAGAGACCTTCACCCAGAACATCTACAGAACATCTCCAGAACATCTACAGCCAGAACATCTCCAGAACATCTACAGAACATCTACAGAACATCTACAGAACATCTCCACCCAGAACATCTCCACCCAGAACATCTACAGAACATCTCCACCCAGAACATCTCCACCCAGAACATCTACAGAACATCTCCACCCAGAACATCTCCACCTGGACCATGTGTATCTCAGTGTTGTGTTGTGTTCAGGTCGTGGAGGAGAGCACCCGTACTGGCACCCAGACAGCACCCACATCGACCGCAGCAACATCAACGGTACAGCACCCACCATCTGCTCCACCATCTCCACCTCTGCTCCACCATCTGCTCCACCTCTGCTCCACCTCTGCTCCAACAGCTCCACCTCTCTCCACCTCTGCTCCACCTCTGCTCCCATCTCCACCTCTGCTCCACCTCTGCTCCAACATCTGCTCCACCATCTGCTCCACCTCTGCTCCACCTCTGCTCCACCATCTGCTCCACCATCTGCTCCACCTCTGCTCCATCTGCTCCACCATCTGCTCCACCTCTGCTCCACCTCTGCTCCATCTGCTCCATCTGCTCCACCTCTGCTCCACCTCTGCTCCACCATCTGCTCCACCTCTCCACCTCTGCTCCACCTCTGCTCACCTCTGCTCCACATCTGCTCCACCTCTTGCTCCACCTCTGCTCCACCTCCTGCTCCACCTCTGCTCCACCATCTGCTCCACCTCTGCTCCACCTCTGCTCCAACATCTGCTCTTCCACCTTCTGCTTCCTCTGTCCTCCCTCATTTCCTCCTCTCCTCCTGCACCTGTCTCTGCACCTGTCTCCTGTCTCTGCACCTGTCTCTGCACCTGTCTCCTGTCTCTGCTCCTGTCTCTGCACCTCCTGTCTCTGCTCCTGTCTCTGCACCTGTCTCCTGTCTCTGCTCCTGTCTCTGCACCTGTCTCCTGTCTGTGCACCTGTCTGACTGTGTTGGTGTCCCTCAGGTCCGCCTGTCGGGCAGGTGCGCCCCCCTCACTCCCTGGCTCCTCAGAGAGGTTCTCAGATGTTGGTGTTGGTGCTGGTGTCGGTCGGGGCGCTCACCGTCGTCATGATCGTCGTCGTGGCGCTGATCTGCACCCGCCGAAGCTCCGCCCACCAGAGGAAGTGAGATACTACTGCAGTACTGTAGTACTGTAGTACTACTGTAGTACTACTGTAGTACTACTAATACTGCACTACTATACTATGTACTACTACTACTAATATTTAGACCAGGTCCAGACCCGGTCTGACCCAGTGTGACCCGGGTTGACCCGGTGTGACCCAGTGTGACCGGTCTGACCCGGGTTGACCCGGGTTGACCCGGTTTGACCCAGTTTGACTCAGTCTGACCCGGTCTGACCCGGGCTGACCCGGTGTGACCCAGTGTGACCCGGTCTGACCCGGGTTGACCCGGGTTGACCCGGTTGACCAGTTTTGACGGTCTGACCCGGTGACCCGGGTGACCCGTGTGACCCGGTCTGACCCGGGTGACCCGGTTTGACCGGGTTGACCCGGTCTGACCCGGGTTGACCGGGTCTGACCCGGTCTGACCCGGGGTGACCCGGTGTGACCCGGGTTGACCCGGGTTGACCCGGTTTGACCCAGTTTGACTCAGTCTGACCCGGTCTGACCCGGTCTGACCCGGGTTGACCCGGTTGACCGGTTGACCCGGTGACCCGGTTGACCCGGGTTGACCCGGTCCCTGACCCGGGTTGACCCGGTCTGACCCGGGTTGACCCGGGTGACCCGGTGTGACCCGGTCTGACCCGGTCTGACCCGGTGACCCGGTTTGACCCGGTCTGACCCGGTCTGACCCGGGTTGACCCGGTTTGACCCAGTTTGGCTCGGTCTGACCCGGTCTGACCCGGTCTGACCCGGTGTGACCCGGGTTGACCCGGTCTGACCCGGGTTGACCCGGTCTGACCCGGGTTGACCGGGTCTGACCCGGGTTGACCCGGTGTGACCCGGTTGTGGTGTGCGCAGGAAGCGGGCCAGTGCGAGTAAGCGTAAGGGGAGTCAGAAGGAGCTGAGGCCTCCAGATCTTTGGATCCACCACGAGGAGATGGAGATGAAGAACATGGACAAAGCTCCGAGCGTCGCTCCGTCCGTACGAGATTCGCCCATTCAAACCTGCCAGGACCGCCCCCAGCCCGCCCTCAGCCAATCAGAGAGCCAGCTGGGCAGCAAGAGCAGCCACTCAGGTACGAGCTCCACATGACCTCATGACCTCGTGACCTCACGACCTAATCACCTCCTGACCTCATGACCTTGTGACCTGGCGCTGCCAGCCGTGGCATCAGAAGGTCACAGATCCAAAATGATCCAAACCAAATAAAGATCGAGATTTAAAATAAAATAAAATTGATTCTTGACCCAATAAACACGACACAGGATCTTCCTCCATGTTCTTCTTCTTCTCTGGGGTCTCCCAGACTTCCTTCACCCCAGACACTTCCTCCAGCTCCTCCAGTGTGTCCTGGGTCTCCTCCTCCCGGTGGGACATGAACACCTCCTGAGGGACACGTCCAGGAGACGTCAGAACAGACGTCCTCCTCAGACGTCCTCCCCTCAGACGCTCCTCTCCACGTGGAGGAGCAGCGGCTCTACTCCGAGCTCCTCACTCTGTGTCTAAGGGAGACGCAAGAACCAAACCCAGACTCAACTCCTCTTCACCACAACCACCCAGACAGACCTGCCACTGCACCTGCCTGTCACCTGTCCACCTGTCTCACCTGTCCTCACCTGTCCTCACTGTCTC